AAAACACTAAGGGTCTGTTTGAAGTGACTTTTTAAAAGTACTTCTAAGTATTATTTCTAATAAGTACTTTAAAAAAAAAATGTTTGAAACCGTCTCACCACTGCCTCTATCATCACCCCCACACCTCTGCCACCACCACCACCACCCCCATCGTCGTCGCCGCCACCACCACCACCCTCATCACTACCACCGTTACCACCACCACCATCGCCACCACGGTCATTGCTACCCACCACAATCATCTCCTACCACCACTGTCGGCCATCACCTCTCACTCCTATTACAACTGATACTTCAATTCATTTATCTCTCCTCTATGTTTATGATTTGATTTTGGATATGAATACAAATATGTTTATTGTTTACTATTTTTTATTACTCCGTGCATTTAGGCACAGTCAATAACTAGTATATAATAAAATAAAATACAATTCAAATCTCAAAAGATAAACAAAATGACTTTTTATTTTTCGCAGTTGAGATCTCTTTAAATTTTACTTTAAATTTAATCTGACGGCTAATATTAACTCTCAAAACTTAATAATGAAAATAGACTCCTAAAGGTATGTTTGTGGTGCCTTTTAAAGTGCTTCTATGACTTTTAACTTCTCGAAAGTACTTTTTTTTTTTTTAACAAAAATAGTGTTTAAAATCATTCTACCACCAAACTACCCCTCCTCCCACCACCCCCACCAACATCAACACTACCATTACCACCACTACCACCGTCGTCGCCACCCCATCACCACCTTTGCCACAACAGCCACTATAGTTGCTGCCACCACCACCACCCCACCCACTACCTCACCACTACCACCACAGTGGTACCCCATTGCCCCACCACTACCCCTACCATAATCACCGTCGCCACCACCCCACTACCACTACCCCTATCATCACCACCGTGGCCCCCCCACCACCGCCGCCACCCCACCCCTACTGCCACCCCACCACCACTTTATCGTTACTATTCTACCATTACTCCTACTGCCCCACCACCACCCCCACGACCATCACCACTATCACTGTCATTACTGTCCACCATTACTCACTACTCACTTCCATTATAACTAATACTTCAATTCATTTCTCTTTGTTCTATATTTGTGATTTGATTTTAGGTGTGAATACAAATATATTTATTGTTAATCATTATTTTTATTATTCTGTGCCTTCAAGTGTGAATACAAATATATATATAAAATAAAGTACAATACAATTCAAATCCCTACTACCCCCCACCACTACCATCATCGTTGTCATTCATAGCTCCCACCATCATCAATGATCGTCGTCACCAACCACAATAATCATCGTCTTTCACCACCACCATTATCACCGCTCGCCACCACTACAATTGATACTTAAATTCATTTCTCTCTCTTTTATTATTATAATTTGACTTTATCTGTGAATACAAGTATATTTATTTTTGATTATTTTTTTTATTACTTCGTACATTTAAGTGCAAAAAATAATTAGTATATGTATATGGTAGTACTTTTGGGGTTTTTCAAAGTAGTGATGATAGCTTTGTAGAAAGTTGGAAAAAAAAAACATTAAAAGAGAATGTATTTAATGTTAAAAATGTTATGTACTAGAGTGAATACTAAGATAGTACATACTTACAAGACATGAACAGTTGGCTGTGGGGGCTCGTTATTACACCTTAAAGTTGCACTCAGCATTTGGCATTATAGGAAAGAGTGATCAGAGTATGACCATTGATTTTGTATTATAGGACGGTGAAATTCATATATACATATTATTGGACGGTGGATATCATGTTTGATCAATGATTAAATTGGGCTTTAGGAAGATAAATATCTGGGTCGTAGATCGTTAAAAGGTGCAATCGAATGTATTTGGAGCTAATATTACTTTGCATCTTGACCGAGATTATCAATTAAATTTTTATCATAAATTGAAGCACTTGAGGTTGAGGTGGTTAACGCCAACCTAACCCCATGAGGCTTCAGACGACCCTGTATTTCTCACATGCATCTGTGTTTATGTTATGGCAAAAATCAACCTAAAACCAACCACTATATTAAATTCTNGAATACTGAAGTAATAAGATAACACTTTAATACCTCCTCTGTAATGAAGGGTAGGACTTTTCTTATCATTCAATGAGGATAGATCTTGAGAGTCTGTAATTGTGCACCTTTTTTTTTATATGAAACTAATTGCTCATATTGATGATTAAGAAATAAAAGTTGCATCAAAAAGGTTGGATAAGAAAAAGAAACAACAAAACAAACAAAGTTACAAAACAAGATTATCGATCTTCAAAGATCCCATGACTCATCTGAAGCCCAAAATGAGGCTACAAATGAATACAATCTCATGACTCATCCAAAGACTCATATCGATCTTCAAAGATTCTTACATTTATTTTCCACCATATAACCCAAAAAGTATCAATAATAGCACAGTTCCAAAGACTACCAGTCACACCTTTATTGAACCTTCTAAAGCCTTTAATGTCTTCAATAAAGAAAGATATAGAGATAAAGGAATCACCCAACTCAAATCCGCCACTCAAAACAATGTATATCACAAAAGCAACAAGGCAATGCAAAAATAAGTGATCCATACTTTCACGATCACATTTACACATTACATATCACACACAACTAAGGTCTTCTTTTTTGAAGCACATCACAAGTGTTGAGCTTTCCATGTGTAATAGTTCATGCGAAAACTTACACTTTAACAGGTACTTTAGCATTTTATATCATCTATGTAGGGGCAAAAATAGGACAAGAATATTGATTCAACAAAGACTCAAAGAAGAATTACAAGAGAATATACTAGATGATTCAAGCCTCCACCCTCTTTTATTATGTGACTCGAGATTCAGAAAATAACTATTAGGATATCAAGAAATGAAGTGAGATTCCCAATGTCTCAATCTTCGGTATTCCTACGGAATCCTAAATCTCAATAGTCTGGATGGTTTGAAGACCTTAACACATAAGCAATAGAAACATCCTGAGAATATGCTAGTTGATAGAGATGTGAATACATAGATGAAAAAGATAACTCACACCCAAGCATTTTCCCAAAAAACTAATTCTTTCCCCATTACCCACAGCAAATCTCAACACTCGGAAAAACCTCATCAAATCCTGAGATATGAATTCCCATGGATTGCGAAAACTTGCCCTCTCAACCTTATTAGTATCTCATCCGTTGACCAGTAAACCATATTTGCTCTTGATAACAAAATGCCACCAAAAAAAAAAAAATTTGGCCCTAATGTTAACCTCCACAACCACATACCCTCTAATGCTATGTTTTTTGCATTTAGATTACCAATAGAAAGAGCTCCTTTATCCCTAGAACTACAAACCACCCTCTAGTTTATTAAATGAAACATCCTCACATCCTCCCCTCACCCCTCTCTCCCATAGAAAATCTCTCATCATTTTATCTATCTTCAAAGCAATTTTCCTTGGCATTTTATAAAGACAAAAAATATGTCGGAATACTAACTAGGACTGACTGTACTAAAAGAAAGCTCTTTTCCACCGATCTAACCTATTCTTCACTCTTTCTACCTTTAAATCCCAAAAAGGTAGTGCCTATGGATTCCCACCCAAAGGTAACACCAAGTAAGGCCATTCTCTCACCTTTCACCACAAGAGTCTCGCAACTATATTTGACCTTATCAATACATGAGTTGATTCCCACAAGAATACTTTTATCCATGTTCACTTTCAAACTCAACATCAAACCAAAAACCTCTGCAACATTCTTAAAGTTAGTAGTTTTTCTTCATCCCCCTCAGATAAGGATATTGTATCATATCAGCAAACTACACTGTAAATAAGAGACCACAATCCTATCTCCCCCTACACTAAAACCACACCTTGTCTCAATCATCTAGATGTCTTAAATCTATCTCTTGGTTTTCCATTAAGCATGATAGAAAAATTCATAGAATGCAAAAACACTTGAATCCACCTCCTCCATCTCCCACCATATCCTTTCACCTCTGAAACATTGTCAAAAAATCTCAATCTACGTGATCATATGCCTTCTCAAATAAATCTTAAAAGCAAAACCCTCTACACTTCTAACTCTATAATCCTCCACAATCTCATTAATCACAAGTGCTACATCCAAAATTTGTCTATCTTTAACAAAAACTCCTTGACACTCAGAAATTGTATCACTTAGAGTTTCTATTAATCTCATGGATAGCACAATTACAATAATTTTATAGAGACTAGACACCAAGCTAATCAATCCAAAATCCCTCATTTTCATTGATTTATCTTTTTTTGGAATCAAGCATATAAACGTGGTATTTGTAATTGCATTAACTACTCCACTTTGGAAAAATTAATTGAAAACTTTAATTAAATCTTCCTTAACAAAATCTCAACATCTTGATAAAATGCCAAAGTAAAACCATAAGGACTCGGTGCCTTATCTCTACCACAATAAAAAACAGTCATTCTTACTTCTTCCACCTCAAAAGGCCTTTCCAACCACCTAACTTGCTCTTCTCAATAGGACTCTACTTCAAACCTTCCAAGCTAGGTTTACCCCTAAAAGATCAATATAAATTATCGAAAAACTCAATAATCTTACTCTCAATCATCATTTCATCTTCAATGATCACCCCAATGTCCAACTCCAACTTATCAATAAATTTCTTCTGTTGCTTACCATTTACAATCCTATGAACAAGTTTAGAATTGTTGTCTCCCTCTTTTATCCACTTCACTCTAGCCTTTTACCTCCAACTAATTTCTTCCTTAAATACCACCTACTCAAACTTATTCTTTAACTCTCCTATCCCTTCTCAAATTCTCATCTAAATCACAACTCTTCTCAATTCTATCAATCTCTCCTCATGATCAAATTTTTTGTGATTCTAATATCTTCAAATACTTCCTTATTCCATTTCTGTAAATGTGCCACCTCACTTGAAGTAGCATGTTAGGAACCATTGAAAAAGCATTTCAAACCAACTCTTTTGAGTTTTATGTAATCTTTTGCAAATAAAAATTGTTTCCAGCTTTTGCCCTTGAATGCAAGACGAGAACATTCAAAGTAACGGCCTACACAATATGAGTTCATTTAAGGTCACAAAACCTCCTATTTCATATTTGCATTTGCCCCTTGACAAGTCATTATTAATGTACATTTTCACGCCCAAAAATGTAGTACCTTATTACTTTCATTAACTTTCATGTCCCTAATTACCTTAAAAAAATATAGACAGTAAAAGGATTAAAAAGTTTTCAATACGGTATAGGATGTTAGCATACCATTTTACACGTGCCAAGTGGCAATATTGCTAGGGCAGCAGCAAACCATGGCAACACAGGAATTGAGCTCATAGGCACAAACTGTTCAATGTCCTACTTACCTAATTTTCTGTAATTTCCGTACTTAATTCCTTTGCTCTTCAGTAGTTAATTAGAAAGAAAGGGCATCTTTTCAAAAAAAATTAACTCCAAATTTAGTACCAGGCCCGGGGGGGGAGGTAGATTGGGTCCAAGCCTAACTTTTGACATTTTTTAGTGGCAGTAATTTGAAAATATCATAAAGTAAAACAGACGATATATGGCTTTCCACCATACCTGTTCTTTAGCTTTAGTCTTGAAGGGTCCATATAAAGCTGAGACCATCTTATAAGATTCCACAACATGGGACTCCATATCAGTAGTCGAGGGCAATAAAATCGAATGATCACTTCCCAGTTGTCTTCTAGAGGAAGATTCATTCTCGTTTGAGGAACGAACAATATGCAGAAGCACATGAGCCTGTAACACAAGATCATCCTAGCTTAAACAACTACTGTGTTAAACTCCTGGTAACATCGCACAAAAAAGTGAGACTGCTTACATGAAAAGCTGCTTTCAGAATGTCATCTGACTTTGCTTGATCCTTGAGCAGTGCGAATATATTACCCTTAGAAGGGTTGTACGTCACTATATATCTCTCTTTCTGCCATTAGGAAAAAGAAATGCAAGTCAGATGTGAAAGAGGACCACTACTAAAAGAATAACACAAGCATGTGTGTGTGCATGTGCGTGCCAGCATGCTGAGAAGGAAAGAGAGAGATTCCCAGCAAAACAAATCATCTACCCATAAAAGTAAATATACCTCAAAAACAGGTTCTACGGTGAGATAAGAATTCGCATCTTGGAATGCGTCCTTAAACCTAGGTCCTGCAATCCAATTGTAACAAACCTGTCTGAACTCGAAATAAATGAATGTACATATAGTTTCTTCAGATCAAAGTGAAAAAGAGAAAACAAACGCTGCTATCATCATACCAAGAACAATGGGTCTGTCTTTGGACCAGGGAAAAGTGAATATATTTTCCATCATATTGCCCTCCTGCAATGTTGGAACTCGCCCTGAAGAAGGGAGAGATATGAGACCAGAATACAGGAATACAAGATGATGCAAGACTTTACATGAGAAAACCATCAGAAATACCATGGGCCTGTATTCCAAATGACATCTTGGGAGCCTCACCATAGTTCTTAGAGAACTAAACAATATTAGGAGTACCCCCATCCCCAACCCAGGGCAGATAAAAAAAAAAAAAATATACACATAATCAACAGTAATCAAAAACCAAAAGAGTTGCATTGTCAGTAGAGCTCATCCTAACCTGTCTTGAGGAAGGACTCTACTGCTACAGTGAATCTAGCCCGATTCAACGTATGCAATACAACAGATTTTACCTGTCAAACAACACATGACACAATCAGAAAATTCAATCAATATCAACAAGCAATATGAAAACAGAAAACCTCAATACACACAATCAAACCTCTTGGTAAGAACTGAGAACATATCCGCAGGAAAGGAGGGCAAATGTGGTAACCAAGGAAGGATTTCTTTTCGCCATCAAGATACTCATTCCAGTTCCCAGCTTCAAAGAAGAGAAATTCACCAAAATTAGCTTCAACTACCGGTTAGATTCAAAAATAATTCATCCTCAAACACTGAATTTATCCAATATATATGATAGCCCAACTGTCAGCTCATAAAACATGGTGTTCAACTGCCACAGTAGAAATAAAAAGAAAAATAAAATATTGAACAGACTGCTATGAATCTCATTTCTCTTCTTGCTTCTAACAATCACCCCCCCCCCCTTCTTCTTCCCCTTCCTCCTCCTTTCCCCCTTCCCTTGATGAGGTAACAAGATACACTGAAACCAATATATCACATTATCTTGCTACATGCATCAAAGCATAGAGTGGGAACTCATAGCCTTGCTCAGTTCACAGTCCAATTCCTCTAGAAATGATATGGATTAGGTCCTATCTTTAGCTGGATAAGAGGAGGGCCCTTAAGGGTAAGGAGAGCTTCCCCTTAGATTGAAGCCCAAGCATTGGATTTTTTAGCATGTATTCATGTGCTGCAGAAAAATAATGTTTACTGGTAAGAGGGCTCAAACAGGTGACCAAGTGAAGGTATAAGACCTCTTAGACCAATCGCAATTCATCACCATCTTGCCCGCTTCCAATTGATGACCGGCTATTATATAAGTGTTGACCTAAGCCCCTGGGGCTTGGCTCCCAAACCATATGTGAGCTGCCTAGTACGGCTCTTCCTAAGAACTTGAAGCGTCAACCCTACAAAGCTCTCTCTCAACATCATGAAGTTTTTTTTTTATGCAGGTGAAAGTAGGGGGTCCATTGCTCCTCCCGTCTTTTCCGACAAATGTTATGTTCAACTATGCCCACCCACCTCGACAAGCCCGGAACTCCAGTCAATAAACAAATGGAGGGATGAACATGATTTGAATACAAGAGAAGTGGAACCTCCTGCCATAAGGAAGGGGAGTTGATTTTGAACCTAGATTTGTCAATATATCTCCTCTCCTCTATGTATTACTACTTGATGGTATAGCAAACCAAATTAGCAGGATCAAGTTGATTCTGAACCTAGATTTGTCAATATATCCCCTTGCATCTATTCTATGCATTTTCATATATATATAACAATCTAATGCGTGGGGGAGAAGACTTCTATATATATAATCTATAAATATATATGGAACAATCAAAGCTGTGGGGAGGAGGATGTGGGAGCTTTCCTTCTAAAGGCATAATTCCTATATTTTTTAATTATTCAATTAAAAACCAAGGTTCCCTCCAATTAAATTATTCCACTTGCACATATAACTTACCTCCCCGACTTCCCACTCCTTTAACTTTTGACTCCCTCCTAGCTTCTTATTTTCTCTAACCCGACTAGAAAGATTAAATGGTTTGAGGAAGGGAACTAAGTGGATATGCTGGTAGAGGGTGGGGGATGTAAAATTTCGTTCATCGCACAAGTTTGCCACTAGTTAACAGATGGCGGTCAAAGTATGGGAGAGAGGGCTCGGAAAGCCTTTCCTACCCAATTACTTAATTATCCTATTTTTCTCTAAGTGCATTATTCTCTTCTGTTTATTTATTAAATTAAAAATTAAGTTCCCCAATCAAATTTTGGCATATTATACATAAACCACTCCTTTGCTACCTCCAACTTCTCAATTGTTTTTGATTCCAACTCACTTTTCTCTTTTAATTACTCATCTTCATCTTCTCTTCTCTCTATTAACACTGCTAAACAAAATAGAAGGATTGGGCAAGGGGGCAGGGAGGAGATGCTCAAACAGTGTGGGGGCATAAATCAGTGTCGTGCAGATACATCGCTAGTAAGGTCATAAGGTCATAAATTTGACTTATAGGATGCATACCCCATGAAGGTATGTAAAGGTCAAATTGTTTGTAAACGATGCTCTCAATGTGGCAAGTGCAAACACCGGCTTCTAAAAACTATAGAGTACTTTGGATAAGCATACCAGATCTGCAACATTTCCAACACATTCCCCTTTAGCAGTGACATCGCCAATGTTTTCTCCTTTAGCGAAGGCTTTGTATATGGGAGTGCGAGTTGATGTTGATGTGACAGCAGCAACATTCTACAAGTAAATGCAGATAAAAGTAAATCTACAGAACGAATTCATAACACATCTACTACAGAATGAAATAAAAAAGGAATGAAAATCAAACCTTGGCCACATTGGCAGCACAGGCTAAAGGCAGGAAAAGGTGTGGAACTGCCGCAGTTACCAGTTCTACACCAGCACCCAACTCCATTAGCAGATCACCCGTGATCCGAAGCTGATGAAAGGCATGACAATTATCAAGACGAGAGTTTCAGAAAACAAAGAATTGGTCAGTAAAAATAGAATACGAAAGTGCACTGCATTTGAGACTAATCTCACCTGTTTTAGATCATAATCAAATTTCTTCCCCTGCCGAGCGAAAAGCATCTTACCAACCCGACCAGCACCATCCTACACAAAAAACATATAACATATAGAATACTTCTAGTACATCAGATTCAAAACCTGAAAGAGATGGAAAGTGAAATGCATGAAGAAGTACAATAAGGCACCAAAACATTTAATCAGAACTCATTGCCATAACTTTCTGGCTGTGGACACACCGTTAAAAGTATTTAATCATGAACAAATTTAGGTAATCTTTGCTAAAATTTTCATTTTTCAAAACATGGAAACAATCACACTCAAATCTTCATAGGTTCAGTAGAACGCCTGTGGCCTAAGCCTGATAAAAAGTTGCTTTGAAATATCTCGAAGTCTACCTCCATTGGAAGAAAAATGTTGAATATGTTATTCTTTTAGAAAGTTTATGAGAGAAGCCAATGGAGAGATAGAAAGTTTACGAGAGAAACCAATGGAGGGACCAATAATGTAATGAAGTCGATGAGTGATTTCAAGAACTACTTTTCATAGAGGTTTCCTTCTCACTACATTTTAGATTGTTAAAAGGGGGGAGACAGTATAACAGCTAAGACACTAGTGATTATTTAACACTGTTTCTCATGTCTATTTAGCTTTAGGCACTCATTTCATTATTTTTCCTCATTTTTAGACTCCTAAGTCCCAACCTAAAGCCCAATGATTCAATTTTATCCAAAATCCTGTTAAATAAATAAACTTAAAAAGAAAGGGAGCAATAAACACTGCAACCACCCAAAGTTTGTATCTAACCTAGACTGTTTTCCTGATAATTTTATCTAACTTATAATATAAATGACCGAGTTCAGTTCCCAACATTTTGGAAGTGACAAAAACCCATGACTAAAAATGTTACATATAGGCATCAAGAGTAGAGTAGGAAGAAATAAGAATATGTCACATCAAAAAGACAGAGCAAGAAGAGACAATAGGATCACATCACAAAGCTTATTTTATTGTTTCATCCAACTGAAGGTATCTTCCATCACCAGATTGTTTCCAGATTGGCAGCTAAAATTACCAGAACTTGTACTAGAAATCGCATAATTATCATCATTGGATACTAGTCAAAACTTCAAAAAGTGAATGCTGATGAGGAACTTTATAATGCCACGCTGGTAAAAAAAACAATGCATACCTTGAGAATCCAGTTGATAGCTACAGCCCCAGGAGCAGCTCGATTTCTCGAGACTCCAACTGAACTCAAAAGCGTTTGTGTTGTGAAAACACCCATTGCTCCACCGAAAAAATGCTACAATCCATTAATAATCCATATTAATGAAATTCAACAAAAGCAAGATACTAAAGGGTAAAAACGGTTTATTGATTTTATCAGTCTAAATTACAGCATTTATAACATAAATTGCTATTAAATACCTTCAAAGCTCTCCATGACATGTACGGTACATAAGATGGTGAAACACTATCAGGAAAACCTTCTGGCACTACATAGGATCTTATGAATGACATCAATTCCTGCACCACATAATGAACACAAATTACGCCCAACTTACACACAACTTATTCAATATCCTATACACGAACACGGATTCAAGGTCAAATAATATATAGCAAACTATTATAGTTACATAACCTACACAAAACTGTGCGTGCCTATCTATCGATATATATATATATATATAGAGAGAGAGAGAGAGAGAGAGGAAGAGAGAAAGAAGGGAAAACGGACATCTACAGGGGCTTGGTGAGTCTGCAAGCCAACAGCACGGATCGAACTCTTCTTGAATTGCTTAAAATTATCCTTCTCGGCAAAGTAATTCCATTTTCGTCCATCGATCTCTTCGCAGCAAATCAATCTCAAGCTCGAATCAACGAATTGTTCCTCAACCAGTCCCAAATTTGCCTCACGCGGCCTCAATCCAATACTCTCCGCAGCAACCAAGGACGACGCCGACGGCGGAGCGGAGGCGAGGTTGGCGCTGATTCGGAGCGTCTCGCGCACGAGAAGCCTGGCATCCTGAGAGGTCGTGGCGGTTAGGGTTTGAGAAGGCGAGTTCGGAGAGTGCTTGAACTTCATTGTTGTGGCCGAGAATTGCAGAAAGTAAAATGGAGAGGAATTGGAGGAAATGGAAATTGAGAGAATGGAAAATTGGGCGTGGGGATTTTATGGAAGAAGAGGAAGCATTGGAAATGACGATGGAGGGATTTCTACAGGTGGCCAACAATTGAGTTAACGGTGAGAAAGAGGAATCTGGAGAGAGAAAATCGAGAGTGAATATTTTTCCGAGAGACAGATAGATAGAGGAGAGAGAACGGTGACGGGTGGGAAGACGGAGGTTCATGTGATGGACACATGGAAATGGAGTGATGGACGGTGGGCAAATGGCAAAGCTGTTGTACAAATTTTTATTTTTATTTTTTGATGAAATGATCAAAATGTCCGGGTTAATTTATGCATAATTTAATTAATTTTCTCTTAATCTGGTCAAAAATAGGACATTTATAAATCTCTCGTACTCCGATTCAAAGAAATTATCAAAATTTAAATATAAGACGTCTGAATTTATAAATTTTATATAATTATAAACCCAATTCAAAATTCATGTCAAATTTTTGAGAATTATAATTTTATTTATTTAATTCGATTGTCTTAATACTAACTCAATTTTTATTGTCAAGTAAAAAATTAAAAATCATTCTCCGCAGTCCTTAATAATTAAAAATCTATTTAAATTTTATACTAACATAGTCAAGTAAAAGAATTGTTTATTTAATAAAAAATTATTAGAGTATTTCCAATTCTTATTATTTTTTAAATTAAAATTTAAATGTAAATAAAAAAAACTCTTAAAAATCTTCTTCAAATAAAAAAAAACTCAAACTTTTACTCCATTAATTAATGGTCAAATTTTATTCCATTTTAAAGACCTAATACTCATATTTTATTTATTCTCCTTTAAATCTGAATTTGTCCATTAAAATTTTTTATATTAAATCCAAGTTTTTACTCAAACGTCGACTAAAATTTGAGAAAAAATGTAAATTAAAATTGGAGATGTTCTTTGGCAATATATTAGCTTAATAGGTTTGTTTTGTTAAAAGCCAGCAATCACATTAATTTAATTTATATTTATTTTGTATGCTATTGCCAATTTTTTATTTTTTATTTTTTATTTTTATTTTTATGTTTTTGGCATGGATCCACACTTGTTTGATGGAACGTGCAAGTAACATGCTGTACGTTTGTGGCGAGTGTCACGTGCTGCAGTAGAAACGATTCTACCACCGGGTTATGACACGGAACTCTAGTAGTTGATCCAAACCAAGACTAATTGTGTTTTGTTCTATACGAGCATGCAAAAAGACAAGAAAGATTTTCTAAACTTTTTCGGTGAGTATTTTTTTTTTGAAAAAGCACATTGTTTTTCTATTGTAAACAGATGGGAAAGTTAATCAGAAGTCTAAAGATAACTAACATTCTAAAATGTTATTTCCATCAAGTTTGTGTTTAATAGTTTTATTTTTAGTACTCATTTTTGGAAAGTTGAACTTTGATAAATAACAGGTGTTTATTTGTGTAAGCGATGCATCATGAGCTTGAATAGATCAATTTAAATACAATACTAGGTTAAACTCAAAATAATTAGTACTAAGAATAAAAAATTCATAATATTGGGGTTTATTTACGCTATAAATTAAACCTAATATAATTTACGTACAGTACTAAGCTTGAGATATTGGANTCATAATATTGGGGTTTATTTACGCTATAAATTAAACCTAATATAATTTACGTACAGTACTAAACTTGGGATATTGAATTTTATTAATCAACTCGAATTACACCCCAATTCAGCCCAAGCTACTAGTTGGAGAATCAATCCCAAATTTAGTCAATTTTAAATTAATTTAAACTCAATTTTGTAATTCGTATTATATGTAGTTAAACTTTAAGTATGAATAAGTTGAATTTAGTCAAGAGTTTAATAATTTAGACAACTTTGATTTTACTTGTCAACTCACACGTAACTAACTCAAGATACACACTCTAACCACCACCTTATTCATGAGAATAATCATTTTATCACCGCACTGAACTTTCATCTTCAAAAGTATACAAGGATTTTATTAATTTAGGTTTCTTAAAAAGTGGGCATGCTGAGTCGAGGGGGTGAACCCACTGAGCTGAGTTGTTACTACTAGAGGCTTAATAAAATGATTGCTCAAAAAAAAAAATGATTAAAAAAATGTCCATTTCTTGGCTACTACAACCTTTGATTAATGAGAGATCACATCACATTTATTTATTCCAATTTTATTGGTAGAGGGTAGCCATAGGGCCGTTTATTTAGTTGGGCTACAAGTCCCATGCTCCTTGAAGTTTCGTTTGGCCGTACCATTAATTCCAACCTGTCATTTTCATGTAGTACAATACCTTTTTCATTTTTTCACCCCCTATTTTTTGGGAAAAATCTACCGTACCAAAAAAAAAAATTGGTACCATTTTAAAAATTATAATTTTTTATAATAAAATTATATATATTTGAAGTGAGAAATTATAACTGTTTAATAAAAAATCATGATCAATCATAGACTTTTCTTGAATAGTTCTAATTTCTCAATTATGAATTGTAACTTAATTTTTAAAAATTGAATCTTGACTTTGAAAATTATAACTTGCGATATCAATCGTAATTTTTTATAATCGATTATGCTCTTTACAAATTATAACTTACATCTAAAGGTGACAAATGAGTGGATTAGGTTGGTTATGAATTAGGTTAAATTGGGTTGAGTTAAAATAAATTCAATTTATTTTTCACTCACATAGTAAATGAGTTATAATGAATTGGGTTAATAACGAGTTGAATTAAACTCATTAACTCATAAAATAATTAAAATTTTTAATAGACACATTAGTATACCAATACACACATATTAGTAGTACACAAAAATACAACATATACACACACTAATACACCAAAACACATACAAACTAATACACTAAAAATATACATATTAATACACTAAAATATACACTAATACATAAAAAATACACACACATAGACTAACACAAAAACTAAAACACATTTAATAAAAAAAAATACACACATCATGGGTCGGGGTCGATTATGGACTATGGGTTAGTATGTGGGTCATGGGTTGACTCGCAAGTCATGGGTTGACCCATGGGTCATGCATGGGTCATGGGTCAACCCACATGTCATGGGTGGTGTATTAGTGTGTGTGTTTTTTATGTGCTAGCATGTGTATGCTTTACTGTATTATTATATATGTGTATATTTTTTTGTGTAATAATGTGTGCATTTTTTGGTATATTAGTATATTTATTTTATTTTATTTCTTGTGTTATTTAATAAAAAGATAACTATTCAACTCAATGGGTACCTATTTATAATCCATATTAACCTGTTTAATTAAAATGAATCATATTACTCAAACCATTTGGAACCCATATTAATTAATATAGATACTCAACCCATTTATTTGTGAGCGGATTAATGGGTAATGAGTTAATATTGTCACCTCCATTTACACCTCAAAAAAATTATAATTTTCGATACCGTATTACTGACAGTATTGTAACTTTCCCCCTAGTATTGAGTTAGGTACATGAACACCCCAAACACGTAAAATGTGATATATATTCATGCAAAGAAGCATGTCATATAAAAAGGGAATTGCTAAAATATCATAATGAGAAAGAAGACCGACGAATGGCCACTTGAAGGGTAGGCAAAGAGCATAATTTTTGTAATGAATGTGATCTCAATCAAATTTTAGGTGACATAAATGATAAATCACGTTACTCTCGTTTAAAGATGTAAACACTTGACAAAATGTAATAAAAAATATCAAAAATTTCAAACCGTTAATAAATGAAAGTTTAAAGTTCTCGATGACTTTAAATTTGTTTGGCACCAACAAAAACTAATCTCGACAACAAAGTGATAGAATTTATTACCAAATCCAAACAAACTAAGGGTTCATTAGGTGTAAATTTCAGGTTTTGTTAGCCAAAAAAACAACAAAGAAGACAAAAAGAGCTTATACACAATATATTCTAATATGTTATTTCCATCAAAGTTTATGTTTAATAGTTTTATTTTTAGTACTCATTTCGGAAAGTTGAACTTTGATAAATGATGGGCGTTTATTTGTTTAAGCAATGCATCAGAAGCTTTGATCGATCAATCTGAATACAATACGAGCTTAAACTCAAAATATTTAGTACTTAGAACAAAAAATTGATAATATAGGGGTTTATTTACGCTAAAATTAAACCTAATATAATTTGCATATAGTATTAAGTTTAGGATCTTGAATTTTATTAATCAACTCGAATTACTTAATTTGAATCACACCCCAATTCAGCACAAGTTGCTAATCGAAGAATCAATCCTGAATTTAATCAATCTTAACTTAATTTAAACTCAATTTTGCAATTCGTATTATGTGTAATTCAAATTTAAGTATGAATAAGTTGAATTTAGTCAAGAGTTTGATAACTTAGACAACTTTGATTTACTTGTCAACTCACATGTAACTAACTCAAGACACACACTCTAACCACCAACTTATTTATGTCAATAATCATTTTGTCAACACACTGAACTTTCATCTCCAAAAGTATACAAGCATTTTATTAATTTATAGTCTGTTTGTTTTGATGGAAAATGGGGTGGATGGAAAAGCATTTCATTGTTTGGTATGAAAAGAAAGAGTGATGAAAAGGAAAATTGGAGGAAAGGAGTTTCCTTCCCACCCACAATTTATTTTCCCCCAAAGATGGACGAAAAATGAGAAGAAACCAAAAGAATTTGACCTTTGAATATTTATTTTACTTTTTTGCCCTTTGTTACATTCTAATAAAACTCACTTCTCAAAACAGCAAACAAAACCCACTTCTCCATGGGCATCAACACACCCTTCTCAGACAACGGCAACGAGACGACGAACTCGATTGGCAAAACCAATGGTCTTTGGACTGGATTTTCGACTATTTCAGACCAAAGTTGACATCCTCCGGTAAAGTTCGGCTAATCTCCTCCATTTTTTTTTGTTATCTCTCTCTCTCTCTCTCTTGATATATGTGTGTGTGTGTGTGTGTGTGTGTGTGTGTGTATGGGTTAACGTATCTTTACCCAGTATTAGCAAGAGATTGTAAGATTCTTTATTTGGTGTATTTATCAAATGTAAGATTAAACTATAATATTGCATACTTTAGGTAATTGGTTTGGATTTGAGTCTTTGACATTATTGGTACCTTACTAGAAGTTTCAAGTAATTATGTGATTTGTTGATATTGTGATGAGTTGATTTGTGAAGTTCATGGCTATTACCTTCCTGTAGGTTTCAAGTAAATTTTTTTGTTTCCGTTGGCTTACTGTTATCTATAATTTTGTTGAGAAGACTTACTGGATTTTTGCACAGAAAATTGCAATTGGTCTGCGTTTTTGCCTAGTTTATCCATACTAACTTTTCTAAAGTAATTGGTTATGGGTATTCTTAGATTAACTGGTACTTTTAAATTGCTATAATGCACTGTCTTGGTGATTGGTTTCTTTGGGCTTTTTGAGGTCCAAGACCTGGAGAAAGAAAAAGAAAATTGATATACAAGGCCTTGCCCAATTGAGAACTAAAACATATTGGACAATTGCCTACAAACAATTCTTAGCATTTGTCTCTTCTGTCATCAAAATTTTCTTCATAATTCCTTTATTTCAATCGACAAAAACTGTACTCGCAACCACAAATAATAATGATGTGCATCCCAAAAATATTTTCAAATTTTGTATCTTAATTCAATGTAGATGGTTGAATTAGTTAAATTCATACACTCTCTAGTACAAGTCTTGTAACCAATTTTTTCGACAATTTTAAACCTTACAATAGAATTGTGAGAATTTAGGAATTCTTGCTAACTAATTGCTGTTTTGTTAACATGCATTTAGTATATGGATTGGGAAGAGAGTTCGGAAGAAAACTTGGATTAAAATGGGGAAGATATTTGGGAGGATAATCTTATGCAAATTTTAAATACTTGGGAACATAGGCGATGTATGGCTACGGTTCAAGTTGTTTGCTATTTGGTTCATATACTCTACTTGATTGGAATGTCATGCCACACCTCATACGTGGATCGATCAATTACCCAAAATAGTGGAGAAAGAGAGAGTGTAAGACAAGAACTCATGACACAACTAACTCGTAATAAACATTGTCGTGACATTACCCGCATGAGCCCACATGCTTTTGCTAATTTGTGTGAGTTACTTAGAGGCACAAGTCGTCTCCATGATAATAAGAATGCTCTTGTTGAGGAACAGGTGGTTAAGTTTCTTTACTTACTTGCACATAAAGTGACAAATCGAAAAATGCAACTATTTTTTCGTCAATCTGGTGAGATAGTAAGTCACTACTTCCATGATGTGTTAAGAGCTATCATTACTTTAGAAGATCAATTTCTAAAACAGCCTACCGGTTTAGAGGTCCCTCTTCAAATTATAAATAATAACAATTTTTTTCCGTACTTCAAGGTGAATATAATCCTTTCCCCTTTTCCTTATAAGAAATCAATCTTAATACATTAGATTCTAAAAAAAAAATNTTACTTTAGAAGATCAATTTCTAAAACAGCCTACCGGTTTAGAGGTCCCTCTTCAAATTATAAATAATAACAATTTTTTTCCGTACTTCAAGGTGAATATAATCCTTTCCCTTTTTCCTTATAAGAAATCAATCTTAATACTTTAGATTCTAAAAAAAAATTTATACATTTCATGATTGTGTTGGTGCAATTGATGGGACACATATACGTGTGAAAGTATCTGAAGTTAATGCACCGAGATATCGAGGAAGAAAAAATTATCCAACTCAAAATATATTGGCAACATGCTCTTTTGATATGACATTTACATATATTTTGCCAAGATGGGAAGGAACTGCGTCTGACTCTAGAATATTAAAAAATGATTTAACCAAAGAAGACAAACTCATAATTCCTCGAGGTAATTTTAGTTTATAACCATATAAGATTTGAAAATTTAATCATATTTATTAAAACCCTTAGTAAATATCTTTCTGGATTTTAGGAAAATTTTATCTTGTGGATGGAGGTTACATGTTAAGAAGTGGTCTTATTGCTCCGTATAGAGGTGTGCGTTATCACTTGAAAGAATTCTCCTCGTGCTCTAGAAAATCCTCAAGAATTATTTAATCATTGGCATTCGTCCCTACGTAACGTAATTGAGAGAGCATGTGGAGTGCTAAAAAAAACGCTTTGCCACTATTAGCAGTGGTTTAGAAGCTTATTACCCAGTCAATACAGTTACTAAAATTGTTCTAGCCTGTTGTATCCTACATAACTATCTTATGGGAGTTGATCCCGATGAAAGGTTGATTGTGGAGGTTAATCGCGAGCTCATGAATGGTGAGGTGCACATTGAAGATGCGATTGGGACAACTAATGACGATGTCGATGCTAGGCGAGGAGCACTTATTAGGGACTCTATAACTTCTAGCATGTGGCAGGACTACTTTTCTGATAGGCCGTGATCCATTTATTTTGGTAGTCATNCTTTGTATGTGAGATTATGGCTGCACAATCTTTCTAATATGAAAGCTGAATGCATGACTTTGTTGGATGGTCTTAATTTGATTCTGCAGTATGNGAAGTTAGTGATGATGTTATCATATGACCACTTATTATGTTCTTGAAATTTTTATTATGTTTTGGGAAATTTTTGTTGCAAAAATCATATTATCTATTTTCTTCTTTTGTTGATAGTATTTGGAGTTTTAAATTGTACAATTGTAGAAATTGTTGTAATTAGAAATTAGTTTTATTAAACATATATCATTGTATTATGCAATGTCTCTTGGAAAATAAATCAAGAAATCAAAGAAAAATGACGATGTTGATGAGATAAAAAAGGAGANCATGGAGACTGCAGATTGTTTTGAAGAAGATTAGTGGGTGTTTGTTTGGCACTTTGTAGGTGTAAATTAAACACATATACAGAGAAGCTAATGGGATTGCTGATTTTTTGGCATCCTTTGATGTTCAGACTGGGAGATATACTGACTTTTAAGTCAGTGGTGTTCTTCCACTTGCTGGGAGGCTGCTTTTGCAGAGGGATCAGAGTTTGCTGCCTACAGCAAGATTGAAGAAAGTTTTTAATAGAGGTACATTACCTCTTTAATGACCTATTTCTGGGCAACCAGTCTGAAACCTTAGAAGTGATTCTAACTTCTAAAGAGTCTTGAAGGATTTTAGCATTAGGAGGGTTTTTTTTGTAATTTTTTCATTGTTTGATTCTTGTGTAGTGTTGCTTCTTGTAATAATTGGTTTCAATCTATAAAATTTTTCTATTTTTTCAAAAAAAAAAAAAAATTCTTTGCTAATTATAATTTTATTAACACACAAGAAACACACAAAATGATTTCATATATTTAAAGAGTAGAATTGTAAAATTGGGTATGCATGATTTTCTTTTCTTTTAATTTTTCATTTATACCAAACGATAGAAAATATATTCCTTCTATTTTTTATCCCTCCGACTAAACAAAAAAGAGAAAAAATAACTTTCTTCGTGAATAAAAAGTGTATTCCATTCGCTTTTATTTCTTTCCTTCGTTTCGAAATTCGTATCAACCGAACTATTAGGCTTCTTAAAAAGTGGGCATGCTAACTCAAGGGGTGAACCCACTTAGCTTAGTTGTTGCTAGATATTCAGAGGCTTAATAAAATAATTAAAAAAAAATGTCCATTTCTTGGCTACAACCTTGATTAATAAGAGATCACATCACATTTATTTATTCTAATTTTATTGTTAGAGGGTAGCCTTAGGGCCGTTTATTTAGTTGGGCTACAAGTCCCATGCTTCCCTAAGGTGCGTTTGGTTTTACCATTAATTCCGAAATGTCATTTTCATGTACAACACATTTTTCATTTTTTACCCCTATTTTTGGGAAAAGTCTTCGATACCCAAAAAAAAATTATTTAGTACCGTATTAAAAATTATAATTTTTTGTAATAAAATTACACCTTTGAAATAAAAAGTTATAAGCTGAAGGAAAGACCATGATCAATCACAGATACTCATGATCAATCATCAGATTCCTTTTCGCAATTGTAATTTCTCCATATAAGTTATAACTTGATTTTTAACACCTAAAATTTAACATCGAAAGTTATAACTTTATGTGATTGATCATGTCCTTTACAAATTATTATTTACACCTTAAAAAAATTATAATTTTTGGTATTGTACCGTCGTATCCAAGCTTTTCCCCTATTTTTGAGTTAGGTACGTGAAAAACATCATAGTCACATTTTCATTCTTTATTGTTATAACCCCAAACACGTAACATGTGACATAGTCATGCAAAGGGAATTGCTAAAAAATCATAATGAGAAAAAAGACCGAGGAATGGTCACCTGAAGGGGCGGCGGAGAGCAAAATTTTTGTATTTAATATGATCTCAATCGGAATTTAGGCCACATAAATAATAAATAACCTTACTCTCTGCAAATTCTTGACAAAATACAATAGGAAATACCAAAAATTTCAAACCGTAAACAAATGGAAGTGAAAAGTTCTCAATGCCTTTAATCTCGACAGCATATATTGAGAGAAGTAATTACCAAATCCAAACAACTAAGGGTCTACTAGGTGTAAATTCCAGATATTGTCAGCCAAAAAAAAAAACAAAGAGATAAAAAAGAGCAGTCTAAATCCACGAGCTTTCTCAGTCATGACGAAATTTAGAGAGTTAAATGTATACAATTCAATGCTTTAGTAACTTCAATTCATTGCACAGCAGTTACAATGAAATAACATTCTCGTGTGCATAAAACACCGAAAAAATAGATTAAATGAAAAAATAAGACTGGAGAGTGAGTTTGTGGTGGGGTCCCATGGCCTATACTTTCTTTGGTTGCTGAGGCGGAATGGATGAGAGCCAAGCAGGACCACCACCTCAACTTGCATAATACAATAGGATTGGAGGCCCTACCCTACCCTACCC